CACTCCCTGGCAGACCCATGGAGACATTCCCGGCCTTCAGCAAGGCATGGACAGGCAAGGCAGACCCTTCCCTGGGCAGCATCCGAGGCACGGGTGGCCCTGGATATTTCTTTTTCCTCGGCACTAATCCCATTCAGGCCTTGTCCTGCACTTCCCCCCGACAAGGCTGCAGCTGGCAGAGAGTGACTGCTTCGTTTGGGGCGGCCTAGATTAGCCCTGGGAGCAGTGGCTCAGCTTGCTCTGGAGATAAAGGATGCTGTGTCCTGCCAGCTCCTCACCTGCAGGGCTGGGATTGCCCTCGGCCCATTCAGGCTGGGAACCAAGCACCTGCAAGGACCAGGAATGGTGATACCGTGGGATTTTTGCAAGCAAATAGCCCTGTTGTGCTACACAGAGAATGCTGTCCTTTTTTTCTCTTGTGTGTGGTGCCTCTTAGAGCTCTGAGGCATCTCCAGACCCTGTGGAATGTGTCGGGCTTGCAGCCAGAGGTGCTGCTGTGACTCCAATACCATGAACTGTTCATGCAGCTCTGGGCACGAGCACGCTTGGACTCTGGGGCTGCTGCTCGAGCTGACAACTTCTAAACCTGTTCAGCTCTCATTTCTTTCTCTGCTGCTCGTGTTCTCTGCAGCTCACCCCTGATGTGCTGCAGCAGATCCCCAGGTACAGGCAGCAGTGCCACGGGGGCAGCGCGATGCTGAGACCTGGCGGAGGGTTAAAAAAGGAATAAACACAGAGGAAAGGAAACCCTGCTCTGCCAGAGACCTTGTTGGAGAAGCTTATCTAATTAACCTCAGATTGCCCATGGTGTGGTGTGGTGTGCCAGGAAAGAAGCCAGGAATTGTCTCCATTGGGTGTCTGTCCCCTTGGGAGTGCTGGCCAGACCTGCAGAGAAGAAGGGTCAGAGCAGAGCAAGGCTGTGGGGGCATTCCCTGTCCAGATGTCTGACTCAAACTGCAGGGACGTTGTTGCACGGCTCCAGGTCCCTTTCCTGAGTTGGCAAAGCCTCCTCACAGCTCCCTCAAAGTGCTTCTTCAATGGATCCAAGCGCCTCAGCTTCTCCAGCCCCCTGATCCCTGCCCTCTGTGGGTCTGTGTGAGGAGCTCCAGGCAGAGGAAGATGGATGTGGGGCTCTGGCTGGCTCCTCTTGCAGGTGATCCCTGCTGTGGCTGCCAGAGCAAACACCTGCTGTGTGTGAGCATCTCCAGGCCGGCTCTGCAGTGAGGAACAAAGGGCTGCTGTGTCCCAGCCGATGAAGGAGAGATGTGGCTGCACACCCCACATGTGGCACCACATGTGCCAGGGAGGGCACTGCTGGGCCACGTTCCTCACCAGCATCCTCCCTTCCCACAGAGCACCCTCCCAGCCCCAGCTGCTACAGGAGCAGGGCTCTCCTCTGCAGAGCTCAATGGAAACACCCAGCCTCTAGGATTTCTGGAGGGAAAATCATCTGGGCTCATGATAAGGCTTTTTTTTCCCTTTCTTCTGAGGTGTAGCAATTACATTAAATAAGGAGCTGTCACTGCAATGCCTGTCTTGCCTTCTGACAACCTGCTCTTCTCAGGAGCTTAGGTGGGAAAAACACATACATCAGATGTGCTTTTCCTCTTGTTTACACTCCTGCTTCGCCTTGACTCACCTGAAGGGAAGACTCCAGGCTCATCCCACTGCTGAGGGTTCCCTGGAGCTGCCAGGTGCATCCCCAGCAGCTCCCCCTTTGCACACACCCTCGGGTGGCTTCTGCAGGGAAACACTTCTGATTAAATCTTGCTTGTCCGAGGGAGAAATGGGTTGGGAAGGCTGTTGTGACAGAGAGCTGTCAGAGAAGGGAATGGCATTCCGAGGCTGCTGCTCTGCCCCGTGGGAGGAAAGGCTTCAAACAGCAATTAGCCTGCACTGCCATTTCCAGGGAAACAGCTCTTGGTGCGCTGGACAATGGGCTGCAGGAGGCAGGCAGGTTAAAAGCTCTAATTCTAGGAGGATATATTTAGGTGGGCTTTTTTCCTTTCAAAGGAAGGTGGGTTAGAAAGGCTCTGACTCCTTTAAATAGCCGCTCCTGCCATAAGCAGCTCGGAGCTGCGTCAGCGGCACTGGCTGTTCCCTTCCAGCACAGCTGGGGTGTCTGGGAACCTGCCCTGGGTCACAGCACAGGGGCTGAAGGAAAAGGGTCTGGCTTCCCTCGGCAGCTGTCACAGGGAGAGGTTCTCTGCTGCTGCTCACCAGCTGTGTTATTTATTCTGTTAGCTGGAAAAGAGCGGTGTAAATGATAATTTAGTCTGGGTGAGTGCAGCACAGCGCAGAACTCAGCACCAAGCCAGAGCTGTGTTCTGCTGCTGCTGTCCCTGGATCCCTGAATGTCCCTGATCCCCTCTGGGGCATGTGCTGGGGTGTGGGCACAGCTGAGGGCCTGCAGAGGGGAGCTCATGGCAATAGAGCAGGTCTGTTTGACACAAAGGGGTTTCCTCTGGCATGCAGATGTGCCTGAGTGAGCATGGCGAGTCCAGCAGGAGCAGGGCTGCTCTGTCATGCTGAGAAGCACAAGGAATTCACTCCAGCTGTAGGAGGTTGTTTCTCAGGGCAGGTTGGCCTGATTGTCTGGGAGCTGTCCTGGTGGTGTTTGGGCTGTCAGCCTCGGAGCCACGAGCTGCTGACACACTTTGCTGGGTGTGCTGTGCTTTCCCAGAAGTGTGTTTTCCCCCATGTGGCTGGGCAGGCTGTGATCCCAGACAAGGAGCTCCCAGACTGGCGTTTACAGAGGGTAAGAGGAGCTGACAGAAGCTTTTTCCCCTCCTTTGCTTCACCTGGGCCTGCTCATTTCCCCAAAACTGCTGCTCTTGGTTAACTTGTGGTGTCCCTGCTCGTGATGGGGGCATTGGAAGCAGATGATCCTTAAGGTCCCTTCCCAGCCAATCCATTGTTTCTGTCAACTCCTGGCAGCCCTTTCTGTCTCCCCCAAGTGCTCCTTGCTCCAAACTCCTTCCACTGACGCTGTGTCCATTCCCTGCTGCTGTGCTTGGCCCGTTGTGCTCCCTCAGGAGTTCAGCCATCCCCTCCCACAGCTCTCCTGGCCAGCACAGCTCGTTCCCAAGCTGGGCAGCTTCTCCTGGAGCAGAGCTCCAGGCTCTGTGCCCGGCTGTGGGGGCTCTGTGCTCGTCCCCCTTCCCCAGAGCAGTGGGAAGGGCAGGTGCTGTGCAGGGGAGGCTGAGGTGGGAGGTGGCACCAAGGTCCCTGTGACTCAGGAATTGCCATTGTGCACTGGCTTTTTCCAGTGGTCCTGCTGAGGAGCTGCATCCTCTCTGCCTTCCCAGGGGGGCTCAGAGCAGGCTCCTGCACACCTGCCCTGCCTTTTGAAGGGTGGGGACAATTTACTGAGGTTATTCACGTGGGTTTTGTGGTGTTTAGTCTGACAAGAAGACTGCTGTCGCTGCTTGGCTGTTGTTTGCTCCTGTCTGTGCCCCCACAGCATCAGTGGGGCTCTTGCTGCCCTCCAAAACCCCTTTGCCAAACTGCTGCAGGGACAGAGTGAGCTTTGGCTGGCAGAAAGGAGCCTCTGGCACTGGGTCCTTCCCCCCAGGGCTCCTCTTGGCCGTGTCCAGCACGAGTGGTGTTTGCTGGCAGGGATCCCTCCCTGCACTGCTGCCTGCCTGCTGCTCGCTCCTGAGAGGAACCAGCAGCACATGATGGCTGCAGAGACAAATCGGGCTCCCAGGTGTCAGGGCAGAAGTTAAAGCATCTGGAAATCTGCCCTTCACCTGCCTGCAGCTCATTCTGCTCACAGGTGGGAACAAACCTTGGCAAATACCTGTGCTCCTCCTGGGCAAGCAGCACGGGCTGGGAAAACTCTGGGGCATGGCAGGGCTGGGCTGCAGGGCTGGGAGGTGCTGCCATGGCTCTCCAGGGGCTGTCCCTGTCCCCTGTGTCCCTGGAGGAGTGGGGGACTGGCAGGTTCAAACCCCAGCCCTGGGCAGCAGTGCTGAGCGCTCCAGCGCTGGCCAGCTCCGAGCTGCCACGGGCTGATCCATCACCAGGGACTCTGGCCAGCCCTGGGGCCAGTGAGGTCCCTTGGAGAGGGGACAGCCTCCCCTTGCTCCCTGCCCCACGGCCCCTCTCACCCTGCTGATTTGTCCGCGCTGGCCGAGGATGAAGTCCCAGATCTCTCTGGGCAGGGATAGGATCAGGCTCTGCTCTAACGAGACCCCAGGCACTGGAGCTGCCCCCCGCCCTTATCTCCCCTGTGCAGAGGCACAGTGCCCCCCTCTCCCTCCAGACTGGCAGGAAGAGCTGGATCCCTGCCACAGCCCCTTCCCTACCCAGAAATAAAAGGGGGGTGGATGCCAAAGGAAGGCACGAACACAGCGCTGCCCAAGTGGCTCCCAGGGCTTCCTGGAGGCTGGCTGATGAAAAGGGAACGCTCCTAGCCAGGGAAATGAGTGCCAGAGCATGTCTCCTGGCCAGAGTGGCCACCAAGAGCCAAAAATGTGGAAAAATAGGTAGAAAGAGGATATAGACAGCACCCAGTACAGAGCCTGGAAAATGCAGAAATTGGGAGGGGAACAATGGGATGAGGAACTTCAGTGGAATTACTAGCAGTGAGGAGGAGGAATTGATTTCCAGCATATGGAGAAAAAAAGAGGGGAGGGAAGAAAAAAAAAGCTCTCAGCAATGCTACTGGACTTGGAAAAGCTGAGTGTGTGGTGTTCTCTGTGGAGATGGGGTGATGCCTTCAGCTCATTTAACAGTGGCCCTGTGGGAATCTGTCCCCGTTCCTGCCCTGGCCCACGTTTGGGAGTGTGGGGGGCTCGGGGCACCTGAATCACCCTTTTTGAAGAGTTAAGATTTTAGTTAAGAGTTAGAAGCAACTTAAAATGATCAAGATGTAAGTCAGATAAGCCAATGGTAGGTAAATGATTATTAGATGTAAGTCAGATAAGCCAATGGTAGGTAAATGATTATTAGATGCTTAAGCCAGAGCTAATTGTTGTATTGTTTGCTGTTATGAGCTTGTTTATAGGAGAAAGTGAAGTGAATAAGAACAGATTGAGACCAGTGAGAACAATGACCTGGACTCTGCACCAATCAATCACCAAGCAGGAGACCTTGGATCGTGCCAAAGGGTCACAGAGACCTGATGAAGACCTCCTGACTTCATCCTTTGAAGACCACTGACCCGATGTGAGACCACTGACTCAAACCAAGAGAAGAATTGTGCACACATGAAGGACTAACAGCCTCATGTTAATACTGGATGGGGATGGGAGGTGCTGGGGTTATGCATATGGATTGTATGGAAGATCTTGGGAAATAAACAGATGGAAAAGAAGCTCGTTCAGGGTGGTCACACCTTTTGGGAACAACCCCTGTGCTGCCCACTGGTGAATAAACTTATCACTTTTTAACTTTCAGTAGTTAGAGTGTCTTTGTCCGTGATCATATCGGGGTTTTTAGTGATTCACAGGCAGGTTCCCCAGCTCCTCTTGGGCTGGAGCAGAGAGGAGCGAGGAGCAGCTCTCTGGATGAGCCCAGAGCCTGGCTGCTCTGCGGGCTGGGCTCCTGGGAAGCGCTGGATGGAGGTTTGGTGGGAGGTTCTGCAGTGACTGACCCGACAGGAGCGGGTCTGATGGAGGCAAGGAGCCAGCTCAGCTCCCAGCCGGGCCAGCCCGTGGAGCTGATACCATCAGTGCTTAGAAATGGAGTTTTCTTTCATCAGGAAGTGTTGAACGTGGCACCCTGCTGTGGTCTGGGCCATCCCCAGTGCCCAGGCCAGGCTGAGCTGCTGGAACAGCAGCTGCATTTGGGGTTTGCCCACTCGTGTCAGGCAGTGCCAGCTGCTGTGAACCAGAGGAGCCCCTGGTCCCCAGGTCCCTCAGGGGGTGTGCAGATGAGCCCACACCCAATTGCTGTTAGAATTCCCTGATGCTATGGTGACTCCCCAAGAGTGATGCTCTCTCCCCTGCCAGGTCTCACATCCCCAGCAGAGAGCTGTGTGCACCTCAGGCCATCCACGTGCTTTATCCCAGCTTCCTGAGGTGCTTCCTAATCCCCCTGGAGCGTGAGCAGAGTCCTGAGCTGGTGAAGGGTTTACTTGCAAGGTCTGATAAGAAGGTTAAGGAGAGGCCAGCAGTGCTCACCCCACTGCTGAGAGCTCCACAGCTAAACTTAGCCCCTGAGTCACTCATGAATCAGCAATTCGGGGGCAGGGAATCTGAATTTCTCTTTTCTTCCCTTTTTTATTTTCCTTTTAACAATGATGCACCCAAGGTAGGCTCCAGATTGGATTGATTTTGTTCCTAATCCAGCAGGTTGCCTGCCTGCATTCCTTTCCCCTGGAGCATCCCTGAGCCGCTCCAGAAGAGTGAGCTCCATCCTCAGATGCCGCCCATGGCCACGGCCTGTCTGCAGCTGAGCAGCCTCCTTGCCCATCATTAGTGGCCCCAGATGTGGAAGCTCTGCCTGGCCAGCCAGCTCTCGTGCTGGGAAAGCTGGCCCAGGCTGTGGGCAAGGAGAGCATCCTTGGAGCTGCTTGGAAGCACCAAGAGCAGCTGCTCTTATCCCAGCATGGTGCACGAGCGCTGCAGCACTGCCAGCAGCGGCAGAAGTGCTCTGAAAAACCCAACTGAGGGTTAAATTAGGGGAGATGCTGATGTGCTGGGCCTCCAGAGCTGCTCTGTGCCATGCTCAAGCCTCCTCCAGACCAGTGTGTTCCTGAGCTGTGCGTGCCAGCAGCCAGCCCTCCCCAGAGGAGCTCCCTGGGGGCTGTGATGGAGCAGAGCTCTGTGCTGAACACCCTTTTCCAGGATGGAACAGGCTGGCCAGGCAGCTTCTCAGAGTGCCCAGGAAGTAAATCCTGGGAGCAGTCCCCACTGTCAGCCGCTGTATCCATTAGTGCCAGATCCCACTGAGGGTGTTTTGCATAATTTGTTTCCCAGAATGAAGTGTTTTACAAGTGCAGCGTTTAATCACCTTGCAAAAAGGGGATGAAAAACCATCCCCGTGTGCCTGGGGCTGGGGAATCGCTGGAGAGGAATCTGGAGAAGGGACCGTGTGCTCACCCCAGCAGAGGACTGGGTGTGTGCAGGCAGAGAGCCCGGGGCTGGACGGGAGAGCTGGAAACACCAGAGATATCTGCAAGGAGCCAAGCCCCAGCATCCTGCCCAGGAGCTGGATCTGCTCCCCAGCCCGCCGTGCCTGCCCTCCTGGCTGGAGGAGGGGGTGCTGTGGATGCTGTGCACCCCAACGGAGCAATCCAGCTCCATTTCAGCTCCTGAAACACAGCTCTGCCCTGGGGCCCTGCCACTCCTGCACTTCTGTTCTTAGTAGAGACACCCCAAAACCTGGCAACCCCCGTATCTTCCCAGCTGTGTGTGCGCGTTTCTGGCAACAAGGTGAATCCAAGCAAGGCTGACAGCACCTGAGCCAGGAAACTCCTTCTGGTTCCTGCACAGAGCCTGGCTCTTCCTCGAGGCCAATCTATTTTGATAAGGATTGCTGGCCAGCTTCCTTGGTTTTGGCACCTGGGGATGAATCAGAGGCGTGTTGGACCGTGTAGGGCACGGTGAGCACTGGGTGCTCCTGGCCCTGCCCGGGGGTGACGGTGGGTGTTGGTCTGGGGGTGACGCTCTCACTGTCAGCTTTTCTTTTATTCACAGCAGGTGAAGGATGAAAAATCAAAGTAATGGCCAAGGATCCAGCATCCACTTGACTCCTCTTGCCCATGGCAGAGCCATAAATCCAGTGAAGGCATTGCAGCGGGCGAGACCTGAAGGTTACCCCGCGCGGAGCCCCCGCGCTGCAGGAGCTGAGGATGATGCTGGCCCAGCAGCCTCAAGGTGTGCTCCCCCTGCCTGTCCCTGCCTCACCAGCGGTCCTCTGCTGCTGGGGGAGCGGTTCAGCCGGGCTGGCAGAGCAGCAGGAGCCACGGTGGGGGCTCTGGTGCTGATAAACCCAGTGCCTGCAGGTCCCTGTTCCCTCTCATCCGAAGGATCTCTCCTCTGAGCTCTGCTCCTGCCTCTTCCACAGCAAGCAAGCTGCTGAGGTCTGGTCCTGCTGCTGGGTGGTCAGCTGCCTGTGCTGGGACAGCAGGGACCCTTCAGGAGCAGTGAGGGCACCTTCTGTGAGGGTGCTGTGTGGCTGATGCCATCCCAGGGAGGCAGGGACCTCTGGGGGGTTCTCTTTGAGGAGCCGAGGCTCCCACTGGCTGATTTCCCAGGAAACAAGAGGTGTGCCATGGCACTCTGTCCATGGGACAGCTCCTGAGCCCCTCAGACATTCCCAGGAGCTGTCACTGGTGCTGGCAGCACTGCTCCTGCATGGAGCTGCTCCTGAGGAACTGCAGCCAGCTGGGACAGGGAGAGCACACCAACCCCAGGACCACTCGTGGGTGAAAGCCTGAGAGCACTGACAAGCTGGACATCAAACCTGGGTCAGCCAGGAGACATAAATCCTGCTATCTCGGATTAGTGCAGGTAATTTGTTTGAAAGACAGACAAATCCCTTTCCTGGAGGTGCCTGCTTGTCACGGGAGACGTTCCTTGTCTCCAGAAGAGTTACTCCAGTTGAACAGCTCTTGCTCTTTGAAGGGAAATGGACTCTGGAGTTGCTAATCACTGGGCTGGAGGATTTTTTTCCCCTAACACTTGTTGGTGATTGCTTCCTCCTCCTCCCTTTTGTGTTTCTGCAACACCCCAGGATTGGGAAGAACCATCTGCTGATTTGATTAATGGCCCTTTTCTGAAAAAGCAACAGAGACAAATGTCCTCCTGAACATGGCAGAGAGAAATGGAGAAACAGGCTGGCTAATTTTCAGCCATTATTTTGGAACCCAAACTCCTTCCCAGTATCAATTTAGCTATTATTTCAAAAACTAATTAATCTTCACTCAGGCAGCTCCAAGAGACCTCAGTTTAGATAATTAACAGCCCAGAGATTATAAAAATTCCTTCTTTTGGATCCCACTGCAATGCTTGCCTTCAACAACACTCCTGCTATCATCCTGCTTACCAACTCCTTTCATCAATCCATCTTTTTTTTCTTTTTGACAATCAAGAGTAAATAATTACCTATGATGGATTTTGCTTGCTTTCTTGCAGCTCCATTCCATTTTTATTTATTTTTTTTTTAGTCCTTAAGTGTTCCTCAACCAGGCAATTCCTGAGGTGGTTTTGCAGCTAATTACAACCAAGCAGAGCAAATTGCTGCTGCTGCCTGGGAGAGCTGGAGAAAGGTTGGATTTGGGTTATGGAAAAGCTGGGAGATGAGATATGAGAAAGGAGATCCTAAAAAGTTAGGGATAGGATTATTTTTCCCTTTTTCAGTCTTGCATGACGTAACCTGAACTGGAAACATGAATTTCTGGGCTGGGGCCGGGCTGACCTCCCATCCTGGCCTCTCGCTTGCAGTCACAGCTCTGATCCTCTTGGACACCCAGTCCCTGTGAGATTTATCTCACCTCTCCAGGGTAAGAGGGATCTATTTCCCAGGCATTCCCCTGGAAGTGTGCCACGGGGAGAGGGCTTTGGGTGTGGCAAGGGCAGAGGTGAGGCTGTGAGAGGGGAGGATGCTTCTCCCTCACCCTCCTCCCACCCAAGCCGGGTTTAACAAGGCCCTGCCTAGGGAAGATGGCTAACGATTCCATTTCCAGCGTGCTGTCAATCAGGAGCCAGCCTGCACAACAACGCCGAGCAGGAACAGCTAATTACTGTCCCCACGCTGCTGCCCGGGCCCCTAATTGCTCCCTGTCCTGATTGCATTTCGCTGCTGCTGCTGGTTCATCCACAGCTCTTGCCTGGCTCTCAGCGGTGGCTGCTGCTCGCTCTGCCTGCCCCCACCTCCGTCAAGTTTATTAATGAAAACCTTATCTGTCTGCACAGATAATGCTGGGAATAATTAGTACTCAGTGAGCTCTGTCGGGCTCCTCAGCTCTGCCACCCCCCTGCCCTCATCTCCTTCCTCCTTGTGGCTTCCCAGGTGCTTGGTTAGTGCTGGGGATGGTTTGGAGGGGGTTTGTTGGAGGGGGGAGGAGTTCAGATCTTCCTCACCCTGTGCAGTTTTCAGTTTTCCTGGCTGCATCCACAATCCCTGCTTGAAATCTGTGACAGTGGGACTGGTGTTCCCCACCCAGTGCACCCGGGGCCTTAAGCAAAAGCAGCCCCATGGTGGGGTGGAGTTAGGTGATCCTTCGGGTCCTTTCCAACCCATTCTGTGATTCTGTGAAAATCAGCTGAGTTTTCCTCGCTCAGGGCACGCCTGGTGGGGAGCTGCAGCTGGATGGGCTCAGTCCCAAGAGACCTGGCTGGGTCACAGCTCCCCCCGAGTCCCATCCCTGCAGGGAATCAAGGGGGACAGCTCCACCTCTGCATCGGGGTCCTGTCCCAGCTCTGCTCCAGCTCTTT